TGGAAACTCAGGTTGGTCGGATAACTGAAAAGAATGAAAAAAATACATTATTAGTATAGTATACAGTAGAGCCTCGAAAACTCGGCCTAATGTGGACCAAAGGGTGGCTGAGTTTGTGAAAATGCCGGGTTATCGGGAATGGGGTTAAAAAAAATAAGTACAAGTGTTTCCTCAGAAAATACTGTACTGTACTTGTATGTATTGTTTACTTGAGAATACAACAGAGAATAAACTGTCCAAATACCCTTAAACAAAGGAAAAGTACATCTTTTATGAAGGCATAGAGCCTTTACTACATGAAAATGAAAATTAATGAATACACTGTACAGTAATTTACCTGATAAGACAGACCTCAGAAAAATACTTTATGAGGCATAAAGCTGTCTTTATCATGAAAATTAATTAACTAAGGATTTTTTGCCCTGCCAGGGTGTGGCCGAGTTATCCGGAGTGCCGAGTTTTCAAGGCTCTACTATATTAGTATAACCCATGTAATTAGTATATTGCTATTAACCAACTTTGTGTTGAATTTTCATCGATATTAAGCCTAACAATTTTTTTTTTTTTAATAATAATTGTTGCTATTGTATCGTTAAAAATTATTTTAAAATTATTTTATTGTTCACAAAACAAACAACCATTCATAATTAGAAAATTAACTCTCGTTTAAATACTGGGCTCCTTTCAATGGTCGAGCCAGTGTTGCCAGCTAAAACACGCAAAAATTTAACAAAAATAATATTAAAGTAGTCAAGACATAGCCAAATATTGTAGTGCCATGTCACTAGTGGACATTTGAAATTTGCTGACTAGAACGGTCGGTTAATTAATGTGATGGTTAGTCAGGGGTCGGATAATCGATGCTCTACTGTATATGTATTTTTACTATTACATATAAATAAATGTAGTAAAAAAGTATATATTTTTTTATTTTTTGGAGTCTCTGGAACGAATTAATCAAATTTCCATAAAAACCCATGGTAAATTGATAATCGGTTAACGAACAATTTGGATAGCAAACAGTCTTGAAACGAATTATGTTCGTTAACTGATCACCCACTGTATGTTAAATACAAACCTGTACTGTATATATTTTGTATCACATTAAAGTAAGCCTACAGTTTAGATTGGCAGGGAGAGGGAGAGTGCTGCAGCACCACAGCACTAGTGGAAATTTGAATTTGCGGACTAGAACGCTTTTAGTTAATTAACTGATGTTCCGATCAATCAGTATTCGGATAATTGATGCTCTACTGTATTCATTAAAAAATTATTCAAAAATGATTCCTATTTATAAGTGACAGATTAACATGTTATTTTGGCTTTCCAGACTCCAAAGTGATAAGGCTACCAATACCTGCATTAATTAGTAAGTAAAACTGGCAAAGTGGTTGGAGATTTTAAAAAATTTTCTAAAGCAATTCCTGTATATCAGTGAGTTAAAAAATCTCAGAAAACATTTTAATAATAATCAAACTCAGAAAAAGCTTGCAGAAATACTGTTTTAACACAGCAACAGATCTCACACAGGTTTTAGGACTTTGAAAGCTGTATTAAAATAAACTGTATTATCCCATCTTCTTTATAGTCTTAACCTACACTGTCACATTTTTTCATTATATTTTTTATAATTCTGAAAGATACCATCCATGGTGCAGGGCTTGATATAATTAGCAATTTGGGAATTTGGCTATATTAACAAGATAAAAAATGATATTGATTAGAGATCCTATCATAGTAATATTTGTTCCTTACCAAAACAAGAGGAAGTGGACAGTATTTTTTGGATAAAATGTGGAACAAACTTTGTTTTTAATATGTCAATTTTCATGATTTTTGAATATTTGCAAGAAAAAAAGGACATTAATTTTCATAATTATGATAAAAAAAGTTAAAAATCTGGAGTTGTATTGGCATAAATGTAAATATAAGTTATCTTGAATATTTTACCAAAAAACAAATTGAGTTTAAAACTGAAAATATTTTAGAATTTATAGTAGTCAAGCATTAAATATTCTGGACTACTGAGTTGATAAGCTATCACTTATATTAAATCTTAAATCTGGTTGTAGTCTGTATGTGGGAAAGTTGAAGTTTACCAGTTTTTTTTCACATAGATAAATGGATGGTTATCTCCAGAGAGTATAAAGTCAGCATAAGACTGGCCACTCTATCTGTTTTTCTGGTTCAACTGTAAATAAGAAGGAATTTAAACCATCTTGATCCATCTTCATAACATGCTTTAAGGGACTACCTTTTAAAATTTATTTTAACACAGACTCTCTTAAATTTCAAAACATTTTTAAGTAATATCCTTTATGAAAATGTTCTGATATTGCAGAATTGGTCACTCTATCCTTACATCACTTGAAAATATGCAAATATGAGCTGTATATGTAAGATGTGCAATAAAAATAGGAAGCTATAACATATAAAATAATTGTAAATACATAAAAGTGTAATAGTATTCTACTATCATCATCACCAATCTTCAGTGCTAGGGTACTAATTTTAAACACATGTAGAAATAAACTCACAGACAATATTTTTAAAGTTATGTTGATGTTAAACATAATAAAGTTAACTAGCCTGTTACAAATATGTTGAATTCTAGTATTAAAACTAATTAAAGCAATAATTTGTTTTGCTAGTGCAGCTTCTAAGTAGTATGTGGGATAGGATCGTTATGATGGAATGGGTTGAGATATATTAATACTAATACCCTTAAGTAATAATTTAACTAATGAAATTTTTTAAACTAACAATAATTTAGAAAATTTTGTTGTACAGATATTGTACAAAACTTGTTTCATTGTATTTTGAAATAACTGTATCTGTACCTAGATACTTTTGTACCCTACAATCTCTCTTTATCTAGCTCAGTGTTTCTCAACCTCTAACGAATCGTCATCCCCTTCAACGTAACATCGTCCCCTTCAATAAAATCGTTATGTAGTATCGCCCCCTTCGCTTCAAAATTTCGATGCCAAGGGCCAAGGCTAACGCCAAATTTGTACCGCATCGAATAGACTAGTGACTAGTATAATGTTATTTGTTTAATTATTGTACGATATAACGAATAAAATATCTAATTATTTTTAATATAATGTTTTACAATATCGCCCAGAAAATTGTTTTTCGCCCCCCAAAATATAAATTGTTACTAATCGCCCCCTCAACGTGGAAAAACGCCCACACGGGGTGATATTGCCCCCGTTGAGAAACACTGATCTAGATACTGAATTAGAGAAGTATATTATGTTGGTATCAAGTTATATATATTTTGTATATTTCTCATCTTTGTCACTTGTAAAGAAAATTTTATCAGGATTTCTCTCATAAAATTCTTACTCAATGAAATTCCTAATGTTAGCATCCTATAATGCCTATATTTTGAATCTGCATGTCCTATATTTTGTATTATCCTGTATTTTTCAAAAAGTGCTGGTAACACTAACTACAGTATATCAATCATAATCATAACATATTTAATGGAAATTAATTAATACTCAAAAAATAGAAAAAAATAATTTTTTAATTATTTCAAAACTTTATAATTTCTGCAAGAAATGAAAAATTCAAGCATCTGACGTTATATCAGATGTGTAAAAAATTAATTTTTCTATTTTTTGAGTATTAATTAATTTTCATTAAATATGTTATGATTATGATTGAATATATACTATAGTTAGAAGTTTTGATTCCTTGTGTAAGTTTGAAGTTGTTACAGTAAAGATGAATTTACTTGTATTTTATATTTACTTTTGTATTGTGTCATCATTGTAATACCAAAAGATGGTGATAAATGTAATGGCTGTTATTTATTTACGTAATTTAATATTTTTTCTTATTAATTTCATATTTTAGAATTAGAGGAATTAAAAGTTTTTAAAAACATTTTCCATTATTTACAGTTGCCTTTGAAATCTAAATCTGTTTTGTTATTTTTTGTAAATATATAAGTTGATTTTGGTAAATATAAACATAAAGATAATAGAATTAGATTTGTTTGTACAGTGGAACCTCGCTTAACAAGCATAATTTCCAGAATGTTACTTGTAAAGCAAAACACTCGTTAAGTGAAACAATTTTTTCCATATAAATTAATGTAAAATATGATAATGCGTTCCATGCAGAAAAAAATACTCAAATATTTTATGTATAACATTTATTCAAAGAAAATTATACAATATATATTGTTAAGGAGCATGAATCATTATTATCTTTTCTTTTAGTGTGGAATGAACCAACCTGGAATACAAATTCGATTTGCAGAAAACAAAAATAAATCAAAAATTAATTTGAAATTGGTCATTAAATTTAATACGAGATGGCAGCCTAACTGCCTACCTCTAGTCAAATTATTTAATTTCTAATGTTTAATTATAGTCTTTACATAGCCCAAGAATTTGGCATTTGTTTGGCTATTGTACAATGGGCTATGGCACAATCTGGAACGGAACTCCCCTTCTTCTCATCACTCGTTATGTGAAATGTTGCTCGTTAAGCAAGTCATATTTTTACAATTTGTTTTGCTTGTTATGCAAATTACTCATTATGAGAGGTGCTTGTAAGCAAGGTTCCACTATACATTTAAATTGTATATCAAGATACATATTTTTGTGAAGTTTAAAATTTCTAAATACTTTATTCCTTAATTATTTAAAAAGAAGAATGTTTATTTATATGTTTTTGTGTAGTTATATATTAAACTATATTCCTATGATAAATAAATTATCAAATTTTGAAAATTTTACATTTATTTATTTATTGTTAAATTTTCAAAATAAATTTATAACTCAAAACTATCTGAATGTTCTGATAAGAAAAAAAATTTTTATTGTCAAATGTAACTTGGTATTCTCAGTTTATATTCAATACTTTTTAAAATTAGAACTATTAAAAAGAAATGTAAAAAACTTTAGAAATTATAAAATTATGTTAGAATTAGACAATATAAAAATAATTAAAATTTATAAGATATTTTCAATCTTTCTTAGATGCTGAAATTCAAAAAAATTCAGAAGTATCATCTAATGATGTTAGCTCACCTGCTACAAAACGTGCAAAATTAGGGAAGATAAAGGTAAGATTTTTTAATAAATAATTCTGTGAATTTCTCATTTTATGTATTTAGAAAATTATAAATAGAATTTTAATGGAATTTTAAATAGAAACTGTTGAGCAAATGACTCAAAATATTGTTATAATGGAAATACAGATTCATAAATGATCTGTATTTAAATTTTTAAATGAAAATACAGATTCATAAATGATCTGTATTTTCATTTAAAAATATATTTAACATTGAAGCAATGACTAGTTTGTGTATAATAAAATAAAGAAAGAAAACAAATTACATTTTTCAATTAGTTCAAAAACTGAGGATATGTTATATGTAAAACAGCTCTATCATTACAAGTTTTTTGTAAAATAAGGGCAAAAACTAAAGTAATTGTAAATGAAACTGAAGTTAATTATTGCAGAAGTTTAAAAAGAATGAAATATTTGATACATTTAAGTTTAAAAATGATATTTGTCAATAGTATTTGCATTATACATTTTGTTAAAATTTATATAATTTGAATAGAAATTATTATGAATAAAGTTTTATTAATGAAAGCATAAAGAATATATGTTAACAATTAATCAATTATTCCCACAGAAAGACTGTAATCATTTTTTCTTATTACATGTTTCCGTTTGTCACAAGAAGCATATTTTTTATTCTTGAATATTCTACTTTAATATATTTACTTACAAATTAATGTAGTAACTTTTTAAACTTGTGTAAGTAAATATTTCCATTTTTATACGATTTTTTTTACTTTAATAGAATTTTTTGACCAATCTTTTTCATTAGTATTATCTGGAGCATGTATAATTTTTTAAATTATTTCATTTCAATGTATTTTTGTAGTACATTTCAAAAAATTAAATGTAACTATTATTAAAATATCTTACAGCTGACAAAACAATAACAGTTTCTTCTGGAAAAACTTTTGGGTGGTTGACCTGCAACTTTAGTTGGTTGCTTTTGCAAATTTCTTTATGAATGTTGGTTGATAATAACAAAACAATATTTATACTTTAACACTAAATCATAGCCCAGTTATCTTAAAAAAATAGTAAGAATAATAAATTTAATAAAATAAAATAAAAATTCTTTTTAACTGATTGGAGGAAATAATTAGCTGGTTGATTGACCAGCTAAACTAGCTTGGCAAGAACACTGGGCATACAAGGAAAACATGAAAAAAAAATGTGAGATATTCATATTAAATGATTTCATTATTTAATGCATTTTATTAAATGTTTCATGTCAGTTTCATAAAAATCATCATATAAATCAGTTGCTGATCATAGAAATTAATGTTACCAACAAATAAAATTATATTTCTGTAATACACTTCTTGTCTAGTCTTGTATTCACTTTTACGAGGTCTATGATGGTTTTTCTTTTTCACTTTAGAAAATCTCAATTTTATTTCCTATTGTATGCATTTTGGACTTTGAGTCCATTATCAACTCTTTGTGATGTAAATGGTTATGAGAAGCACAGAAATGGTGACGATTGATAAAATATGGATGATGATATTAATTTACAGGTATTTGAGTAGATATGACGATATATATACATAAATATTGTTCAGGAACATTCAAACTAAACTTGACCAATGACTTGCTGAGTAATGAGCTTGTAAGCAAAGATATTGTAAGCATCGTAGTGCTTTACTAATTGGGCTTTATGTTAACTTAAATTTATATGTATCTATAGATAAAGATCAAATTAGGTTTCAAACTCAAATGCAGCAAAGGGCCAGTCAAATATATGTACAGGCTGTATTCCATACTATATCAGGTATAGGCTGTATTCCATACTATTTGGTAAACCAAAACATACTGTAAGTAAAAAAAACTTTAACAAAGGCCCTTTTATTACCAGTCCTTTACAACATACGTAAACAGTTAGACATTTGTATTTTTTCTGTTAATTACTGCAAAGTGTTAGAAACATTAATTTTTAGAAAAGAAATTATCAAGGCCATGGGCCAGATATGAAACCTTAATGGGCCATATTCAGCCAGTGGGCCATCAATTTGCAACCCCTGGTCTCTTGTGGAATATAAATGTCCTTTATTTATTCCTGTCCACCAAACATTTTTTCTTTTACTCTTGCTAATCATTTTTTCCAGATCATGTTTAATTTTATCTGTCTATACCTAGATCTTCCATAGGGTCTTTTTCTTAATATGTTTGTATCAAAAATTTTTTTGATAGACAATTATTTTCCATTTTCTGAAGTTGTCCATATCATTTCAATCTCTGAATTTTCACTTCTAACAAGGGGAGGTCATGACATGGTTGTCACAGATTTCAATAATACTGTTTATATGGATGAGCCTTTATTGCACCTTTGTTGTTCAAATCATGAACAAAGCACACTTTTCAAATGTTTTTAGGAAAATTAAAATAAAAAAATTCAGAGTGACTTATGAGTAAGTTTTGCAGAACCTATCATCAAAGACTATATGATTCAATGCATCCTTACTCATTTGTGAGATAACTGGTTTGTGTCTCAATGAGTGAGCTTTTTTCAAATCAGTTACAATTGTTACATAAAATAATTATAAATTATATGGATTATCTGTTATAATTATTTATTTTTATAAATATTTATAATTTAGGATTTATAATTATCTATTTATTTTCAATTAAAAACATTCATTTTCTTTCTTTCAAAATTTTTTTAGCATTTCTGTCTGTCAAAAAATAAATTTAAAGTATTTTACATTTAGGAATGTAAGAATATCCTGAACAATTTGATATTTTAAGCAATTAAATAAATTCAAGAAATTATTAGTTATTACTAACTCTCAATATCATATTGAATTATTTTATTGTAATAGCATACAATCTACACAATCATTTTTCCATGTCACTTCTCTAGTTTCTTATTGTATATTCTTATTTTGTAACTAATAAAACAAGCAGACAGTAAACATAAAGTTATAACTTAAGAATAATAAAATTATAAACTATAAAATAATTAACTATTTGAGTTTAAAAAACAAACTTTAAATTTATTTTTGACAGACAGAAATTTTGAATGTGAATTTTCTTTCTTTGAAAATTCACTTTCAAAATTGGATATTAAAATCTTGTTTTAATAGAAAATGGCTAATGTGTAGTTTACAATTATTTGGTGTAAAACTTGCAACTGATTTGAAAAAAAGCTTAGACATGAATCAGTGATTTTATTATCAGGTTTTTTGTTATTGACTTTACCATTTTTTTCCTTTACTATTTCCGACATATGAGAGAAAGTCATTAATTAAACACAATTTTGGTATAATGTACATAAAACTGATGTTTTCTTGAAATTTGTTAAATTATATTACAAAGCATTTATCTGAGCACATATTATCTGTTCATATTGGCAATCCTGATATACACACATGCAAAATGTTGTATCAGATGGCCATCCAATTGTTAAAATGCACCATCAAGAATTAACAGTGTTATAGTTTCTTGTGGTTGGAAGGTATAAAAACAAGTGAAATTTATCAGTGATATACATCATACTGAAGATGATGTTGCATCACTTAAAATACTTGCTTTGATTTTTTACATATTATTAAAGATTAATTCACAGTTTGTATTCTTTATAAGAATTGATATCAAGTTTACCAATGTCCTTTTTAAGAAATGGAAACTACAAAAAAGCACTTTTTTCTATTACTAAAGGCTAGAACAAGATGGCTAAAAGAATGTTTCAATTGAGTTTTTACTATGCTGTTGACAGTATAGATTAACTCCAAAGTATATAGCTCTTAAAACTATCTCATTTCCAAATTGTGTGGGATCTTTATTGTTAGAGGTTGAATGCAAGTTGTTACATTTGATCCAGTATAAGAAAAATGGTAGCTCTTGTGAACAACATTATATCTAGTTCATCTATATTTTATCATACACTGTGACTCTAAAGGATTGTATGCAACTAGCCAAATTATATGCTATTTAAGAAAGGAGTCACCGAGCACTAAAAGGAAATTAGATAAAAAATTCTATTGGTTATGTCAGGGATGTAAGGTGGGTCAATGGCCTGGAGGAAATACCTTATTGCAATGTACAGTGCATTATATTATTATTTTATTCAAACTTATACATTATAATAACATTTTTTAATACATCTTGCATATTTTAAGATTGTTATTAATGTGTTTTTAAAATGCATTCAATTTAAAGGACTTTTGGCAATAGTGGCATCCATTTTACCTAATTAGTCTGTTAGATTGAGAGTTTACTGTATATTGATAAAAAGTTTAAATAGCTTAGAATCATTAAAAAAATGTTAAAATTTGTTATATTTATTATACAAAAACGATAGATTTTAAACTTTAGCTTAATTATTTCAAACAGTATTAAAAATTTTAATCATCTCATTGAATATGTAAATCAATTGGCTTAAGACAAAATTATAGAAATGCAACTACCATTTCCTATCAGCTATTTCTACACTGAAAGTTATTTTTATATGTTTAGAAAAAAAAAACAAATTACAAGTACTAGCTAAAGTACTATAATTATCAAATTAATGAAAAATACTAGATCTTGTAGTATTTTTCAGATATGTAGAGAGAATCATAGTAGAAACTGTTTTTCAGATATTTAGAGAGTACTCAATGGAATTAAACCCAGATGATTGCCAAATTATTTTGGGCTATATTACTACAACTATTATTAATTAAATGCTAAGTGATTTGGCACTAGAGATAGGTGTCAGGTGCCATTTCTTGCTAAATTTAATAATTATAATTAAATTTATATTTTAATAATTTGGCTTTAATATATAACTATTAGGTTTGGATGTTTATATTTATGTATATATGTTACCGGCCAAACCCGATTTCAGGCCAAACTAGTTTATCCTATGCATGTCAGGATATACTAGTTTAGCCTAAATACTTTAGGCTTAACTAGTTTGACCTAGGCCGGATTGATTTATGTACTACAAATAGGTACCAGTGTAAAAAATATGATTTTGTGTAATTTGAAATGCCACCATAGTACACCTGGTGGTTA